GCTGGGGAGAGGGAGGTCTGGGCCTCTTTGCTTAGGCTGCTGCCCCCGCGACCCAGCCCCGGACAAAGCGGATGAAGATGGATGGATGGATGGATGAATCATTTTTTTCCACACTTGGTTCTGTATGATGCGTAAGAGAGGGCACATTCATAATATGGTTATCTCAGAAACAGAAAGCTCTGTCTTTTAGCTAAGAAGAGCTGCCTACCAACTATTCTTATTTTGTCTTTCTGCAACAGCCAATTCAACGTATGCTGGCTGAATAGTGGATGAACTACAGATAATACAGAGTATATAGTTCAAATATATACTTCTGATTATAAACCACAACATGATCTGACTGTTGGTGCTCTGTGTGTGTGTGCTTGTGTTTCTTCTAGGATTATGGGAGACTAAAGCTATGTCAGTAACAGGAAACAAGGGCAGCTCTATCACAGTAACCTGCTCTCACTCCAACGCCTACTCCACCGTCAAATATTTCTGCAAAGGACAATGCACATATCAAGACATCCTCATAAGCAGCACTACCATTTCAAATAAAAAATACAAAATTGAAGATAAAGGAAATACATTCAGTGTCACTATCTTTGACCTAAAAGAAGATGACTCTGGAACTTACTGGTGTGGAATTGAACGAGTTGGTTTGGACACATATAATCAAGTAATCCTTACAGTTTTAGGTGAGTTGATTATATTCTGTACGTAAAGCTTTCATTATGTTATCTGTTCTGACTTTCAAGTTTCTTGTCATTGACAATAGTATTTCACAACAGGTTCTCAGATTGTGTTTTCTGCACCAGACAGTGAAAAAAAAACTGAAACACTAGCTCAGCAGAGCTGAGGCAAAATTAACTTACTTCACTTCTTGTTATTTGTGCACAGCTAACCAAGATAAGGCAGCCTATACACATGCTTCTCTTTCTGGTAAGGAAATGGCTGTGTGTGTGTGTGTGTGTGTGTGTGTGTGTGTGTGTGTGTGTGTGTGTGCGTGTGTGTCTGTGTACATATATCTGATAAAGTCCAGTGTGATATATTGTTGCTGATTTATAAGACCTGTAACGTTTTCAGAGACGGTGGTGTATACTGGAGTAACTCTCGGTGTGGTGGTGCTAGTGCTGGGCGTGGGACTTCTGATTTTCTTCAGACATCGAAACAGCAACATCAATGCATCATCTGGTATAAAAAATTAACAAACTTTTATTTGCGTAGCTTCAAAATACTAATTTAACAGCCGTTTCAAACACCACAGTTGTTGTTACTGGCTGATTAATTCAATAATGTGGAACTACATAACTAACTATTCTCAGGAAGTCAAAGTCGAGTAAGGATGGGGGTAGTTTTGATATCAGAGGAATGACTGATTGCTGGTTCGTCTTTACCTCTTTACAGGACAGTACTATGACCTGGTGTTCAGGTCCTGTCAAAAACAAGATGCCTGCAATGACAAGAATGCCTCTCCATCCAAGGAGGATCAAGAAACAGATGGTGGAACTAAGAGTGCCAATCAGCATCAAGATACATCAGAGCCTCAGAAGGACTCAGGCAATCTCATCTACACGACTGTTACCTTCACAAATCAAACAGAGTCCAGCATGGCTGCACCCGACCTTGTAGCGTCTATAAAATCATCCTCTAAGCCAAAATCAACAGAAGAATCTACAATCTATAGCAACATCTCAACTCAATGCTGATGTTAGACAAAGTATTTCTACTGGAACATTTCACTTCTTGATTATAACATGTATTTTCTTCTTGTGATTTAAATATTTTAAAAATCCAGCTTCAAGTCATTATTTAACTTCATATCAGGCATAATGTGTAATGTGAAAATTATATACATAGCAAACAATACATAGATTTTTTCAGACTGTTTTTCTATTGTATATGTGTTTTGTATTCATGCTTATTTATATGAGACTGAAACTGAGAAAGTGATATGAGCAAAGAAAGAGGTTGTGGGTTCATTCGCATGTGTCTAACGTAGCTTTGTTTTGATTAAGGTCCCTAGAATAGGATCAAAGCCCTAATTTGAATTTTGACTTGGTGACCTGAAACCTGATGGATTGAAACCAAAGTTTAAAAAAAGACCATTCAGACTCAGACCATTTACCATTTGACTGTGCAGTGAGTGTTGAGCACTGAGCACAACACATCTCATTTTCCACTGATTTAAAACAGGTTTATTGTGTCTAAAATCTTGTTTAAATAAAATCTCTGAAAATAAACAGTTCAAGTATTTCATAAACAACTCAAATTCTGCACATTTGTTTCCTCTTTGAAGATGACTGAGCAGTAGCAACAATTTTGCATGCCTTTTTGACAGAGCTGTGATTGGGTAAGACAACTAGACCCATCAGTCACCACAAGGTCTTTTGTAAGTAAGAAACTGTTTGAAGGAAAGCAGAGTTATACTGTGAGTCTGAATACAAAACACACAGGTGATATGTGTGCCCCCAGAACCTACTTGTCAATTGTTTCTTTAGTGTTGTTCTGTATGTAAATACAAATGGACTGCAGCTTGCTGAGAACCTTGTCAGTTTGCCTCTTGCCCTGTGAGAGCTGGAAGGGGCTCCAGGCTGCAAACCATTTTAGAACATTTAAGCTTGTTCTCTACTAGTGATGTGTGAATCATGAACGAATTGTTCAGTACTCGAGGATCACTTTACTGACTCATGAATCATGATTCACAAGCCCAACTGACTCACTGACTCATCCCTGTTGCTGTTAGCAGCAATGTATCTAGCTTATAATTAAAATTGTGGAGAAAAACACAACATCCAGTATCTTAACAAAAAAATTTCTGCTCTGAACTGGAAGAAAAAACCCTGAGTAGAAGCTCACATCAAGAAAATAGCTCCTCGGTTCACAGTAGCATCGCTCTGCTAACATGCTAGCAGCACATTTGACCTACTGACCCCCTCCCTTCCTGTGCTGAATCATAGAGCGAACCAATCACTCACTCACTCACCCCCTCCCTCCCGGCTCACAGCTTCTTCTTTTTCCTGGTTGGTAACCAATGTTAAGGCGCATTACCGCCCCCTGGTTCACAGCTCAGTGGACATTTAGATGAGAAAATATATATTTAACACATTTAAGGAAAATACTAATAAAATAAAATAAACAAAATAAATGTTTATTAAGCAATTTTGATAGGGAATTGCTTACTTTTAGAAATGTTTTGCTCTTTTTTGCTCTATAAAATAGTTGTTTTCTTTTAGAATCATTCATCTTAGCAGTAGGATTTACATGAAAAGAGAAACAAGTTAAGTTTGAGTGAAAATGTAAATTTTTTTCACTCTCTGGTCAACTGACTCAGTGAAACAAATGACCCCAAAAATCCGATTCACTTTGGTGAGTGACTCATTAAAACTCGATTCAGTAAAAAGAATCAAATTTACCATCACTATTCTCTACATCAATTAATGTTACCAATCTATATTAATATGACACAATTTCACTCAAATTCCTTCAAGAAAGTGCGCTCAACATTCTTCTGTGTCTCTCATATTTCTTGTTTGGCAGGATGATCTTGCATCATGGAACCCTTTTGTTTTTTTAAGAGAGTAAATTGAATTTTATTTGCTCTAACTGCATTGCAGATATGCACAGTTTCACACAGGTTTCAAGCTACAGCAGTAGTAGCTGCAGTAGATTTTTACATAATTCCTTTTTGTGACTGATCTTGGGAAAATTTAGCTAAATATATAAAAGGATCCTGACTGAAAAAAATAGGATATTATTAAAATTCACTCTCTGCATATTGACAGGTAATATCATTATCATTTTTACTATTATCATTCTTTTCAACATAAACTGTAAGCACAGTAACAATGGAAAGCATAATAAAAAAATGCCTTTGCATGATATATAAGTAAGTTAACTAATTAAATACAATCCTTGAACACAAATAAATTTGTCAGGTAGTTCTACTTACTTGGGTACTTGTATTCATTTTCTTGCTGATTTTGTAGCTGTGCTTTTTACTCAATAAAACTTATCACATGTGCACAGTAAAATAAAATAAAGTGGTAAAACAGATTTTGGAAAGTGGAACATTTTGGAATTTCTCCGTTGTACACCACCACTATACATTTAAAAAAAAATAGATGAGATTGAAGAACAGACTATCACCTTAAAGGACTTCACATACTGGACACATAGAAATATTTGGCTTAAAAATATGTTTTTGGACTCACCTATTCTTAATGCAGCCGTTCACACCAAATGCTTAATTGCACATGACAGATTTGCAGCTCAAGCCCAATTTGTCCAACTTTGTGCATGTGACTAAATACATCTGACCAATCGGCCCACTGCATTTGTTAACAAGTGCCCCTGTGTCTCAAAATGCAATGAATGTACAATGATCTAGATATTTCTATCTTTTCTTGTTTAGAAACGTCACAAACAGCCCATCATTGCTTAGCATTTACTCCACTTTTCTGTAATGCATTTTTTGAGGACATATTTTTGCAAAAGATGCTTTCACTGTTACACAATAAGTTTTTCTTCCAAAAATTCTGAATTTTTTATTGTTTTGTCACAACATGCTTGGTGCAAAGGCCTTTAATTCAAGTTATTTAAAAAATGTCTTGCATTAACATTTAGGAATTACAACCACTTTTATCCATAGGCCCCAATTTTTAACGGGCCTAAAGCTGTTGGACAAACTAAAATAATTACACATTCAAGGAATGATTTTAACACTTAGATGAAAATTTGTTTAGGTCAGTGACTCCCTGAAGTCTTGAGCCTATGAACATCACCAAATGCTAAGTTTTCTTTCTTTGACATACAAGGCCTTTACTGTAGCCACAGTGAAGCAGTTGGTGGTCCTGGTGCTGTCTCCAGCAGCGGCTCTGGCTCTGCCTCTGATGCCGGCTCTGCCTCCAGCACTAGACCACATTTCACAGGTATGTCTCACTAAGAAACACAGAAATAAAGATCCTCAAGTCTTTACATTTATCCTGAAAAAAAAATTTTGTGTTTTGATTTTTACACTCACTGAGACTCAGTTGGTAGACCTGGTGGTGGCGCTTTCTCTGACGCCAGCACCAGTGGCAGTGCTACCTCCGGCGATGGCTTTGTCGGCACCCCTCTCTCCAGTGACAGTGACTCATCCACATCCACTCATTCCAGGTGAGGGCTGGAAATATCATAAAATATACACACACATTCTGTTTCATCTATATTTAACAGTATCAGCTGTCAGATCAGAGACTTTCTTAAATGTGAGTTACGCCTAAATATTTCAACCATTGTCAATGGAAGATCACTAGTCCATTTTGGAGACCTGTCCCTCCTTCAATGTCCATATATGAAAAGCTAAAAGAGAGTGCAGCATTGTAGAACAGAGAGGGCATCGGGGATTATAAATATCACACTCATTAAATCTAATATAGCATGAATGGAGGATCTAGGGTGAAGCTATACTGAAAAGCAGCTTGCAGATGTTCATTGGTTGCATAGAAAGGTGTTTAGCTGAGCCATCAAATCAGCCAGATCATCTTGATTTACATTGGAGTTTCAATTTGTGGCCTCTCTGAACAAACATTCAGCTCAACTTTTGAAACAGAGTGTGTGATTTAACAGTCGAAAAGAGAACATTTACTCGCTCAGGATAAACAGACACACAATTTATGGTTTATATTTTTTCGTTTGTATTTATTCAAATCCTCTTACTCCATCTCAGCATGTCGTTGTTGAGAAATCATCAAAGGAGAGGATACAAGCTAACAAAGAGGTATGTGTGAATGCATGTGTGTGTTCAGTTGCATCATCATCCTATCATCCTGGTCTCCTTTTTCTTAACAGGAAAATATGACAGATCATCGTTATGAGGAGATAAAGGAACAGAAACAGCAAAAGACCTCACTGCCATCTGTTTATGCTACTGTCAGTCCTCTTGCAGACCTGGTCCACTATAAATCTGCCAAGTTTCAGAAAAACGGGAACACACTTCCTGACAGTAATAAAAATTGATTCACTGAAAAAGAGCAGGAAGCCACCAATCCTCCAGCAGCAGAACCAACTCTCTATTCAGACGTCACAAAGGGGCAACACTAATAATATAGTCACTCTGTGAAGAATGTTTTCTATGTATAAACTCTGTCTATGCACCTACAAAAGAAGAAGAAATGTTATATATAGTTCTATTAATAAAATAATTTGGTCATATATTTTAGTGATAGACTCTACTGTTTAATGTAAAATTAAAAGCACGTTTATACCAGAAAAACTTGGTTATGTCTTTAATTCACTGGTCATATCATTCATAAAGTATTCTATTGTTTCAATAACAAAAGAGGTTAAATCTCATATTCTGATTTTTAAAAGCATAATAGCAATAGCGTCATCTGATGTGGCATCAATCAAAAGTTTAGTTTCCAAAAGCTCTATTGGAAAAAATAATATTTGACTTAGTCTGAAATATTGAGACAAGTTTTTTTTCTTTATCAGAAAGCCACATGTAATGATTAATTAAATTTTTTAATCTTCTTCTTCTGTTTATGCATTTCTTTTCCACAACACCCTCCTTTGGACATATTTTGCTTTCTTTTCTATGGTAGTGTGTGTGCTAACATCAGTGGCATGTCACTGTGTACAACCATTATTGGGCCATCTAGTCCACAGAATAATGCATCTAGATACAGTGGGTACAGAAAGTATTCAGACCCTTTTTAAGTTTTCACTCTTTGTTATATTGCAGCCATTTGCTAAAATTATTTAAGTTCATTTTATCCTTATTAATTTACACACAGCACCCCATATTGGCAGGAAAACACAGAATTCTTGACATTTTTGCAGTTTAAAAAAGAACGAAAACTGAAATATCACATGGTCCTAAGTATTCAGACCCTTTGCTCTGTATTTAGTAGAAGCACCCTTTTCATCAAATACAGCCAAGTCTGTATTAGGTCAAGCCAGTCTTTTTGGGAAAGATGCAACAAGTTTTTCACACCTGGATTTGGGGATCCTCTGCCATTCCTCCTTGCAGATCCTCTTCATTTTTTATTTATTTTTTTTGCCTGTCCCGTTTGGTCCTTTAGCCGTCAGAATACCCAATGGATTTACTTTACCAAGTGGATCATCACAGCCTTGCCGTATTGGTCCATTTGATCGACCTTTGTTGTTATTATTTATTTTATTTTATTTTCAGTTGTTACAGACGGGGCAGACATGACTAGGGGATAGGAAAGGGAGAAAGAAAGCTGAAGGAAAAGAAAAACAGAGGGGAAGAGGGACAGTGAGAAAGGGCCATTGTTAATCTTTAACACTGACTAGGTTACTGGTAGAAATATAACACTGTCAAAAGTGTTAATTTAACACTCAAAGGAGTGGACACATGTAGACACTTTCTAGTGTCAATTTAACACTGGAGATTTTGCAGTGCAGGGACAAAAATAACAAAAACAAAATTCCTTCTTCAGTATTGTTTCTATTTATGCATACTTGGTCTGTGTGTGTTTGTGGCTGTGTGAATGCAAATGCATTACCTTTATGCAAATTATTTTTTTGCAACTGCACGACAGATATGCATAGTTTTTCATACGGGTTTCAGGCTACAGCTTCATAATTGCATGCTGGGTGAATGGAATTATGTATTAATAAAATAATAAATAAATTAATAAATAGTTCGTTGCAAAGATGAGAAATACACTGTAGACGTGATTCTGTGTTGTATTAAGCATTTTGTCTTGTTCCATTCTCCCTCTGTTTCTCTCACTTTTTGTGTAAAGCT